ATACTGGCTTTTTTAACCCTAGGGCCTGGTATTTCAGTCCACAGGCTTGGGTTGCATGAGTTCCAAGTGCATTGAAGCCAGTAGGGACCCAGGTTCCTTTTCCCCTTGGCCGTTCAGTCTTGTGTGCTGGGCCCAGATCCCCCAGCCAGCCAGCATGATGAGGTCAGGATGGTCATACTGACTGACATTGCCCTGTGCAGCAGACATTTCCCAGCCATGTTCTTCCCTCCATCACCACTCCCATCCCCAGCCTGACTGCCCGCCACCCCTCACTGGAGACCACTGGGAAGAGTTGATGGTCACAGGACCATTCCATTGGTTGTCCAAAGAGTATTTAAAATGGCACTCAAAGGGCAGGCAGACCAAGGAAGAGAGCGGCACTCAGAGAATTGAAGGAAAGGCAGGTTTATTCTCTAGCAGGCCCAGCAGAAGTCACCTTCCAGTCTGAGGGTCTAAGCTCCATTTCTAAGTTTGTTTTCATTTTTATCTTGTTCTTCAGGTAGGGCAGGGGAGCAAGCAAAATTTTACAGAAGCAGAACTTAGCAAAAAGTAGGGAGGTGGTGGCAAATGTTGCTTTTACAGTTTATCTTTAAAACACAGGGAGGAACAGGCAGCTGTTGTTTCAGCAGTTCATCTTTTTGGGCACAGTGACCTTGGTGGGTGTAGCAGGAGGGGCAAGCCTTAGACTGTCAGCCTTGAGACCATGTGTCTCTGTCAAGCTCTGAAACGGATAGTCTCTGCTTTGTTCTGTCTTTTTGGACTCAGGTGAGGGTGAGTGGAACGGAACCCTCAGGCACAGAGGAGATATGGGAGCTCAGGTGGTTCTGGAGGGGCCTTGCACTGGCACAGCAGAGAGCAGTACCCCTTAAACATGCACTCCAAAGGACAAAGCCAGCTGCAGCTTCGTTAACTATTTGCAGAAAAAAGACTGGGCCTTCACTGTGCAGGTTGGCAGGGGAGGATGGGCTGTGGTTTAAGGTGGGTGGAGGCAACATGTAATGTCTGATCCCATGAGTTCCAAATGCGGCTTCTACCAGAACTTCCTCGGGCTGGGAGACAACAGACTTGCTGTCAGGTTGGGATAGTTTCCTTATTAAACCTACACCTGGGACAAGGCAGCCTAAAAATAGATAAGAGAAAACAAAAACAAAAAGGATGAAAGTTTAGAGATAAGGATCTTTCCTTCCAGATGAAAAGGTTCTGAGAAGTATGCTAAATTAGTGGATAGCTCCTCCCTACCTTTGGACTGGACTCTGAAAAACATTAATACAAAATAACCAATTTGATTGAACTCAGTTTCTTTGTCTCCCCATCCATGTAGGAGGAGGGCAAAGAACACAATCTGGACTTCCATTTCGAATCCCCTCCTGGATATTCAAACTCTAGGAGCTCTTCTTCTGTTTCCAATGTATACTCTCCTAACTTCTTCCTTTTGGCTCTCGATTTCATTCTTGGACTGTATGAGACTACAAGCTCGGTTTGCACAGAATTAACTGTTTCCGGTGATGATGGGAACTTGCTAGGTCTGGTCACTGCCCAGTTGCAGCAGGGTGGGGTGGGTGGGTCTGCACTCAGGGGATGCCCCCTCCGTGTAAGCCCTGTGTGCTGCTGGTGACTGGTGGCCTCCACTCCTCACCCCAGGTCTCCACACCCTTTGCTCCTGTGTCAGCTCTGCCTACATGAGGTAGCCTCTGGCTCGGTATGTGTTGACCTGATCTCTACCATGTGACTTGACTGGACCAACACAGAGGGTATTATTAAATGCTTACATTAGAAGAGTTCAAGTCAATAATTTAAGCTTTCAATTTAAGATAAATTTTTAAAGACAAAGCCAAAATAAGCAGGAAGAAGGAAGCCACAAAAAGTAAATTGGAAACTGAATAACAGTAGAGAAAAAAAAATCAGTGAAACAAGCTTGTTCTTGAAAAGTCAATCCGGCTGAGCATAGTGGCACCCACCCATAAACCCAGCACTCAGGAGGCTGAGGCAGGAGGATTGCCACAAATTTGAAGCCAGCCTGAACTAGTCCTGTCTCAAAAAACAAACAAAAAAGTCAGTAAAATTGGAAAATCCATAAGACAAATATTACTAATATCAGGAAGGGGCACAATCATTAAAGTTAATGGGCTATCATGAATAACTTCACATGCATGAATTGCACAATGCAGATAATTCATTCAGCCCTCTGAAGGCATTGTGTCTGTGGTGGCCAAGGGTCTGCAGGATGAGAATCCAAGGGAAGTGCTGGATTTTCTACTCCAGCAAAGTCCCAGAGGGCTCTGCTCTAATACCAGCAGCATCATGAGCTTAGTGGCACACACCTGCAGTCCCAGCTACTCAGGAGGTTGAGGCAGGAGGATCTCTTGAGCCCAGGAATTGGAGACTTGTCTGTGCAACATGGAGACCCTGTCTCAAAGAAAGCCAAACCAAACCCTAATACAAACAACAGCCTTAACATGTAGTGGGGTGGCACCGGGCAGGTATCTGGCTGTCCTATCTCAGCAGTGATGGAGACAGCTCAGTGTCTCTGTCACCTCTGCCCCACCCCCTGCCTTGTCAGGGCCTCCTCCTGCACATCAGCCCACCCTCCCTCTGCTCTCCCTGCCCAACCTGCTCCACTAGCTTCGCCTCACTAGACTAAGCCAGAGAACCCACAGAACTTGCTGTGGCATGCAGAGGGATGGGAATTGGGAGTGAGGGGGCAGCAGATGTTGAGAGTGCAGCACACCTTCCCTTCTCATTCTCTTGCACTTTGGGGCTTGTGAGTTGGGCCACAGTAGACAGGGTGGGCGTTTACCACCACTCTTCAGCCAGTGAAATCTTTAAACTTGATTTAGGATAATTTCATTAAAGGCGAATCTAGGTGAAGACTTTTTTATTCTTGCTTCTGCAACTCTTAACTGTTAATTTTATAAAGCAGATTTGTGAACTGGGCTCCCTTCCTTCAGTCTGTTAGGCTGCAGGCCGTCCGCAGCATTATGCTCCAGGATGTAGGCTACTGGGATGTAGGCAGGGAGTGGAGAAAGGGAAGAAAACCCCTACATTTAGAATCTCATTCCCACCTTCCTGGAAACCTTTACCTGAAGGTCCTGAAACCTTGGGAAGGATGGAGGTGGGCAGGATCCTGGGGTCAGATTGGTGTTCCTTCTGGGTCCCCAAGCCTCGCCTGTCCTGCTTTCCCCAGGACCCCTCCCACACCTGCTGGTGTCCTCCCCAAGCAAGCTGTGATCTCTGCCCCAGGACAGGCAGCAAGGGACAGGATGGCAAGGGTAGTGGATTTCACCTGAGGGATGCTTTGCTCAAAGCCACTGGGTGCTTAGTCCAGTCTATCCAGGGCTGCAGGAGGGTCCCATATGTGAGCTTGGCTGGGATCCTAGTCCATTCTGCCTTCCTAGGTGTGGGACCATAGAGGGCGAGGCGAGGGTCACTGCTGCCCTGCCCTATGGAGGGCTGATGGGGAAGACAGATGGCCAGTAGCCCACTCCTGTTCCAGACTGGGACATGCCCATCGAACATAGTGGGCAGCTCGTTGTGTAAGGGGCCTGCTGTCCAAAGCGTCTCCAGCCTCTATGACCCAAGCTGCAGGGGTTCATATGCAGCTCTGGGCTCCCTGGAGGCAGGGCCCCTATCCAGCATGTCCCTCCACATGACTGCTGCGCTGGGCACAACCCCTTACCCTGTAGCCCTCCCCTGTCTCCAGTGGGCTGTATCCATTTGGGGCTCCAGCATCTCCGACAACCCTCTCGGTGGCTTGAGCCTTCCCATCTCCTGGGTCTCACCAATGTCTCAGCTGAACTGCTTGTCTTGGCTTGTTAGGCACAAGCTGTGCAACTTGTCTGACCACTCCTCACATGTGCCTTCAAGGCTGTAGTCATGCACGGCTTAATGACAGGGGTGTGTTGTGGAAAGTGTCCTCAGCCACTGTGTGAACATCAAGCAGTGGGGGCTACACACACTCAGAGCAGCCCAAACATGGGGGAGTGTAATCCTCCCACCGTGTCTGTGTTGGTCTGCACTGGTCACATCAGTTACCTTGTTTCCGAGCAGAGCCAGCTCTGATTCCCCTGGTGCCACGGCAGAGCCACTATACAATAAACCAGTCAATCTTGTGGCAAGTGCTTTCCTCTTAACATCAGTGCTGCATTCATGATGTGTACCCCATGAGGATAGCTTGTGACAGAGTTCACTCTCTTAGAAAGCATTCTTGGGGGATGTGAACTGGGGCTGTGTTGGTGGCTCCCAGTCACCAGGGACCCAGGCTCCTAGCACAAGATGACTCCACCTCTAGGGGTGTCCTGAGATGGAGCTGCCAGAATTCACTAACACGGCAAACTAGCTGCAGGCTGAACTGAAGTCACCTTGCAAGAGATCCCTTGTCCCTCTAAGCACTGGGCTTCAGGACTTGGTGCTGAGAAGGGAGGAGGTGCTAAGGAAGATCCTGCTGTCTGTGCCACTACTCACCAGGAGTTCCTTCCCTCCAGTACGTTCCCATTCCAGTGTCTGCAACCCTGTCCCAAGCCCAGCAGACTCTTACCACATGAGATGTCACTCACTGGTCAAGGTGTGACAGGCACTTCTCCAGGATTTTATGCAATCAGGGTTGGCCTGGGAGCTCCCTGAAGCAGCAGTCTCTTTCTCAGTTTAAGGCAGCTGCTCTTGTAAAAGCAATTACTAGCTAACTCTGTAGTTCATCTGCTCTCATCATTCAACTCTGAGTTCAGATGCAAAGGGGGTGCCCAGCCACCTGCTCAATGATTCCCAGGTAAAGGAAAGTGATCCATGGATCAAGACAGCCAACCCTGCCCTAGGACTCTGGTGTACCAGGCTGGGGTGCTGCACAGGGTTCTAGTGTGCAGCGGGCTGTGATCCCCAGCTCCAGGTTACCGGAGTGCACACAGTGCTGGGGGGTAAGGACCCATGCCCCTGCAGGTGCCTCCGCCCTTTAACCCTCCTCCGGCTCAAGATCTAGTAGAGCACTTCAAGCACAGGGAGAGAAGCAACTTGTTAATTGACTTTTTATTTTCCAAATTTCCAGAATCAGATCTCTACTAGGCAAATAGAAAAATAGAAAACTTTTACTACTTTTAAAAGGCAACTATAATAAACAAGAGTATACTCAGGAAAGGGGTGCCTGGGATGAAAACAAACGTAGGGAGTTCGGCCTCAGCACAGTGTGATCTGTGGCATCGTGGCAACAACAGAAAACAGTGTCCCCACGTCCCTAGAGCTGAGACAGGGCTCTCCACAGAGCTGGGCCTGCAGCACAGGCCTTTCTCACCCCACTAGCTAGCCCAGTCTTGGAACCGGAAACAGTCACTTGCGATTTTCCACACCGTGTTGTTGGGAGAGGCCTGGGCAGTGAGGATGAAATTCTGGTTGAAGTCCCGCTGTTTGTTGCCCTCAAACTTCACTGACCCACAGATGACAACAAGGACCGTGGTCTGGCTCGGGGTGGCCTCATCATGGACGGGCTGGCAGTCAACCACATTGATCTGGAACTCACTGGAGGGCAGCATTTCAAAGAACTCACTCAAAGACTCCTGTCCGGAAACAGCGTTTCCATTCCACACCAAGGTGGCCGTGCCCATGTAGAGGCGGGACAGCAGGCGCCGGCGCTTATCCATGGTGGTGTAGTAGACGTTGACAAACTCCTCAGCTGCTCTGCAGGCCTGGTCCACGTAGGTCTTGAAGTCCACAGATGCCATTTCGGGGTGTGAGGAAGGAGACCTCTCTTGGGGCGTCGTCTCTGACCTGGGGAGCCAGGGTCTGTGGAGCAGAAAGGGCGGTAACTTGTGTGAACACTAACATTCCACCTGCCCTGACAGTGCATCTTACTGTGGCAAATGGCTGTGCAGCTGCAACACCCCATTTCCTTAAAAAAACAAAAAATCAAAACCCAAAGCACCAAGAAATATTGACATCTGGGCTTTCCATAATGGGTGAAACTGTTATGTTCTTTTTTCATGGTTAAAATATTTGAGTAACGTTTTCATTTCAAAGCGCCCTCCATTCAGACTGTAGCCTTAATATTAGAAAGTCTCAGTTTGCTCACTGAGGGCTGGGGAAATCAGCTTGTTGTTTTTGAGAGCGAGTGTTGCTCAGGCCGACCTTAAACTCACCATGTAACCCAGGCTGGATTTCCCATTTTTTCCCTTTCAGACGGGGGTCTCACTATGTAGTGCAGACTGCCCTTGAACTCCCGAGATCCTCCTGCCTCACCCTCCCAACGGCTGGGATTACAGATGTGCACCTGGCATAAGAGCGGGGAACTCTTAAGGCAAAAGGATGTGAGGGAGCAGGTCCTAGAAACGAGCAATCAAGAGCCAAGCTAAGACGTCGGTCCCTGCTCTCCAGCTCTGAACTGTTATTTGCTAGGTGCTCTACACTGCTGGCACCACACTGGGACAAGGGCCGTGCTGCCGCCTGAGAGGGGAAACTCACACATGCCTCCCTCAGCGCTGCCAGAGAGCAAGTCGGGAAAATTCTGCCAAGACTATGACGTTTTTCATCTGCTTCCGCGCCCCTGTACTTCCAGAATTAAGACCGCAAGAACACAGCTCCCCGGCGCTCGTCCCGCCACGCCCCCTCCCTGTCCGGTCCTGGTACCTGTTACCAATCCCGGTCCCCTTCTCAGCCAGGGTCTCCCCGGTCCCGCCCCCCCACCGTGCAGCCCCGCCCCAGCATCCCGACCACGCCCCCTACTGAGCACCCCGCCCCCGTCCCCCGCACGACTCGCTCAGGGCGGGGACGCGGTCCAGCTCCGTCAAGGAGACGCGGGTGGGACTGAAACAAAGCAAGAGGCCAGGCAACAGACCCCTCCTGCCCTTGGCATAGCGGGTCGCCGCACTGAATGCACCTCCCCCTGGGGGGCGGGAAGCGCCTCGCTCGGAAGCTGGCGCCACGCGTGGGAGACCGGCCTCCTCGACTCCACTGCCCCTACCTGTGTCGCGCCTGCCTGTCTCGCGAGGCCGCCCCGAAGATCGCCTGCCAGGCGCCGCTCTTCTCCGCCTCTTGCTTCGGTCGGGTGCCGACCGGCCGCCTCTTCCCCGCCGTTTCCTCCAGAGGCTCCGCCCGGCTCGCCGGTTTGGGGCGGAGAACGCGCCCGCACGCTCCGCGGTTCCCGCGCGCGACCCGCCCCTCCTAGTCCCGCCCCTTCGTGATGGACAGCCAGCTCAGCCAGTGGGAGGGCGCGTCGTAGGGCTGTGGCTTCTAGAGAGGCGCCTTCTAGAGAGGCGCCTTCCAGAGGACGCATCTTCCCAGAAGACCCCGGCAAATCCGAAGTCGAGTTTTTATTGGTTGAGTCGATTAGGTGGGATTTCTGATTGGATTAGGCCCGGGATCAGATCCCATCCCCGGAAGTGGGAGTGGTTCTGCTCTCAGTCTGGGTCTCGAGCAGCTGTGTGGTAGGACTGTGGAACGGGTAGCGGCCGCCAGCTAAGTCCTTTACACTCTCCGTGCCCTCCGCGCCCTCGGCTCTCCTGGGCCCAGGCGTTCTGTTGAGGTTTCCGGGGTCTCCACCGAGCCATACCCTCTGCGCTCACCTTCACGGCGTAAGCCACGTGGAGCTGACGTCCTGAGGGCGTCGGGCGGTGGACCAGGCGGTCCTAGGAGAGATAGGCTGGGGGCCGCTGCCCCGAGCCCAGCTACACCGCCTGGCGGTTGCGGTTCTTCTACTGTCAGCCGCGCTAGGGCACATCTGGAACCAAAGCTGCATTTCACTGAGTGTTAAGAGCAGCAGGGCCGGAGATTTAGCTCGGTGGTTCCGTCGCCTGCCTCTCAAGCGCAAGGTCCCGAGTTCGATACACGGTGCCAAAAAAGAACAGCAGGCTCCACAGACAGAACCATTCACTGCTGGGACCTGGAAAATGTAAAGTGTACATGAAAAACAAAACAAAAGCCTGTTTACAAAATCCCCAGCTTCATCTGCAGGTCGAAGCCGAACAGTTTAACCTGTCCCCTCTGGGCGTCCCGGGGCTCCCACCCCCTACCCGCCTTAGACCTCGGTGGTTGGGACGTTTTGGGGACGAGGGGGAAGGGCTATTCAGTATAGCCCACCTGGTTCTGGCAGGAAGGCGACAGCCTGTGTTAAGACACAGAGCTCGGTGGGCCGGGGATTTAGCTCAGTGGTTTCGCCGCCTGCTGCGCAAGCACAAGGACCCAAGTTCAATCCGGGGTACCAAAAAAAAAAAACAGAGCTCGAGGCGGGGATGGGCGTCTTGGCAGTAGTAGTCACCAGAATGTCTTTACTGTATGTATAATCGCCCCGGATAGTGCTGAGAGTTCACTTTACAGCATCTATACGCTGCCCAGGGATGGACATGGAACCGGAGCCGACCCACTTCCAGGCCTGGTAGGCTGGTGTAGAGCTGCTCCCCTTCCTTCTGGTGTCCTATCCCCTCTTCATTCCTGAGAACTCTGGGACGGATCGCTATTCCTGATTTTATGGATGAAGAAGTGAAGAGACAGAAATTAAACAGCCAGCCTGGAGTTACAGAGGCCTTTCAAGCCTAGAAGTGTAGGTTGGGGGAACTTTATCCAGCACTCAAGACTTGTGAGAACACAAGCCTCTACCCTGCGAGGCCCGAGCCAGGGCTGGGATAGGAGGACAGGAACCTTCAGGGTTCTGTCTCCAGCATCTGAGATGTGCCAGGCCAGTAGCAGCAGTAAATGCTGCTTGCACACAGAGGCCTGTTCTCTTCCCATTCCAGCAAAGAAGAGCCCTCCCAACAGCCACCCTCTTTCTTAGAAGCAACCCTGGTTTCTACTTCCTCTGAGTTTGAGTCTTGGGTTTGGAGAGGTGTTGGGTTGAAGCAGGACTTAAAGGTTGCTAACAGAGTCTTGTAACATGCTGGTTACTCAGGAATCCACCTGCCTTTAAGGCTGACCCCGCCCCTCCATACTGACAAGGTAAATAGTTACATTTCTGTAAATGAAGTTTTATACCCCTGAGGAGCTGTATGCTCTCAAAAGGTACAGATAAAATTGACAGCTATATTCTATAAACAAAGTTTATGACACCGTCCTCATATGATTCCTAAGATGTTGTCTTCTTAAAAGGCTAAATTACTAAACTGTCTGGCAAACTCACTTGCTATGTCACCAGAAAGACCAAACCCATGCACCCCTACCCCATGTTTAAAAACGAATTTTTCTTTGATTCAATGCTCTTCCTTTGGACAGGACTCTGTTAAGCCAGTGTTCACCTTAAATAAATCCTCCTGATTCCCATTGGTCTCTCCTGTCTCTTGGAATTCTGCAATAGGGTGAATTTCCTGGCAGGACCTAAGAGCAACAGCTGCTTCTGAACTGGGGCCCCAACAGTCCAGAGAACATGGATGAGCCCAACTTGGTGAGTATCTGAGTTCGCTCTTGCTTACAGAGTGGTGGGCAACATACTGTCTGCAATGCCACCTGTCATCACCCCTCCTGTGCTAGGCTACTGTTTTGCCAGGGCACTAATTAAAACAGCAGAAACAAGATCCAAAGCAAGAAAGATGACTGGGAGAAGTTGTGTGTGCTCTGCTCCAACTGGTCCTTACCAGGGCTCTCTGCCCCTCTCTACTGAGTGGTGACCTTATACACAGTTTCAGCACCTGGTGAGGCCCACTACAGGATGGGATGAGGTACCCGTGGCTATAAGGGACCAACTACTGGCAAGGTGGTCCCTGAGCCCAGCTGGGGGCTGTGGGAAGTCCAGTTAGGAACACTCAGCCTGGAGAAGGTGCTTGCTAGGAGATTCCAGGAAAGGAGCCTTTTCTCTCTCCTTTCTGGACCTGGGATGTGTGGATGGTACTGCTGCAGCTACTTGCCACCCACAGGGGCCCCCCACAATGAGGAGGCAGACAGGAAAGGTGAGACAAGGTCAAGCCCTTGGTAACTCTTGGGAACCAAGTCAGCCCTCATAGTCTCAAGAGCCAATGTCGCAAGATGGACATAACCTTGGTTACCTGCAGCTCAGCTAGTGTAGCTGGAGCATTTGCAAGGCGACTGGCCAGTGAACTGAACTTCTGCCTCCTCTGTAGAGGGGGCAGTGATAGTATCTGTTTCCTAGGGCTGATGAGGATGGAGGAAACAGCTCACAGGAAGGGCTGAGCTCAGGAGCACTGGGGAAAGTTACGAAGGCAGAATTGAGCTTGACATTTTGAACAACAGCAGCCTCCTCATTTGGCAGCAATCCTTCTAACAACTGGCTTTTAAACTTGGGATGAGTGAACTGACAAATTGGTAGGATTTGTCATCAAATCACAGGGCACCTTCTGAAGATGAGCCTGGCTTAAGCAGCTGTGGCCGACTGGTGCAGTTTGCAGCAAGGCCATTGGGGAGGAAAGCGCATCTGGTAACAAGCTCCACCCAAGTCCCTGGCAGCTCCAAAGATGCCTGACTTAAGGATCTTTAAGTGTGTAAACACTAAGCTGAGCCTCTCCCCCAAGTTGTGTGGTTCTCCAGGGCAGGATCGAGATGGCGTTTGTTTGCAGCTGCGTGTCTTGGAGCCAGTCAATCTGCGGGACCAGCTGAGCAGTTGTGCCTCTGGTGTACAGGTGTGGAGCCCGCCTCTTGCTCTGTCTCTGCTTTAGTAGGACCATGTGAGTGACTGTAGGCCAGGGTAAGCCCGGGCAGCATTCCTCTGAGCTCAGTTGTGGCTCCACTTTTGGGAAGACCCCCAGGGGCCATGGAAGAAGCACACCCAGGGGCTAGATAGTGTGTTGTGAAATCCGAGCTCTGCCTTGTCTCCTGGCTTACTGCAGTGGGAAGTGGGGTGTGGGCTCTCAATGTCAGGTGGTGGCGCAGGGACAAGGCACCATTTGGAGCGTTTGTCCAGTCTGCGACAGCACCCTTGTCAGAGAATCTAGGAATTGCTGCTGATGGGGCTCAGGTGGTCTCTTGCCAGCTCAGCCACCAGCCTTCCAGAGTTGTGGGTGGGTCAGATACAGCTGCAGAGCCTTTGTATGGGGTCAGAAAGGAATGTGGATATTTATCAATATTTCCAAGTAACAAAACAATTCTGACCGATTTAAGCTGAAAGGTGTTTATGGGAAGACTGTGGGTGCTTGTAGAGCCAACAGCAGGCATTGGCAAGGCAGCTCCAGGGGTGTGGGAGCAAGAACTGGGCAACAGGTGCTTCAGGGGCTGGGGTGGGTGGACTGATGGAACTGTGAGCAGATCCCAGCACATGGGCACTCATGCATATATACCACTCACTCATGCACATTCGTGCATGCCCACACAGGGAACACGCATGCTGTCATACACATGTGCACCCACACACACCACTTGGCGCACACAAAGGAACATGCATGCTCTCATAGCTGTACACAGCTCATACATGCATCCACATACACACATGTGCACACGTGCATACCACTTACACTCAGGCACATGCATACCACATGCTCACACAAATATCCCCACATATGGGAATGTGCATGCTCTCACACACACACATGCACACTCATACGCATGCACACACATGGAGTGTGACTGCCTTAATTCCCAGTGGTTTCTTTTTCCTTATTGTGGTAGATCAGATTTACCAAAACGGATAACAAAACCTTTCCAGTCTCACACCCTCCTCCAAAATCTCACCCAATGAGGAGGCCATGTTGGGTCCTCCCATGGGCCAGGTAGGCCTGTGTGAGAGGCGAGTATAGAGGAAATGGCACTGGATGGTAGCTGCAGCTGGCCATGATGGGAGATGTAGCCTCAGTCCTGCTCTCAGTAGGCCTGTGCCTGGAGCTGAGCTTTGAGGAAGTGCTACTGCCTGGTGCCCTGCTGTATGACTGAGCTGCCTTGGAAGTGGACCAGCTGGGTGGCCCACACTGTTATGGCCTGAAGAGCACAGCCCAGAGAGTTGTTGAGTTTCACAGGCACATTTTCCCCAGTGACAGCCACAGCTCCCCTGCTGTGGTCCCCAAGGCTGCAGGAGAAGCTTGGTGCCAATGATGCCCCATTCCTAACATATGTCCCTGTGAACTGGGTTTGCCACTTGCTGGTAAATGGTCCCTCAGGACTTCTGGGGGTCTGCCACAACATGGAACTCACTGCTGTCCTGCGGCTGCCCCCCAAGTCCCTACTGTGGGTTATCAATTTGGGAGGAGAAATGGTTGATTTTGGCTGTGGTTTTAGACCAGGACTGTTCAGCACTGTTGTGGTTGGGCCTGTTGCCACCCAGTGCCTCAGCAGGAATGTGTGGCAGGGGAGGCTGCTCACCCTCATGGTGGCCAGGAAGCAAGGGGAGTGAGGAGGAGCCAGCGTCTCAGTGTTCCCTCAAGGACCCCGCTCCCAAAGGGTCTTCGACTCCCTGAAGTACCATGGGCTGGAGACCAAGCCTTCTGAACATGGGCCTTGGGGACATTACAGAGCCAGGCTGCAGCTCTACATGAGCACAGGTCAGGGACATAAAGGACATAAACCAGGCCAGGGCATCAAGTGGGCAGGGCCGGAAGGACCCATTTCCCAGGAAGGGAAGCATGGGTGCGGGAACTGGATGCTCCTGCCAAGTCCAGTTGCCCACAGCACTCTCCTTCCCCTCTTCATGTGTGTGTCTCCTGGTATCAAATGTCACACCATTGTCTTGTGGCTAGGAGCCTCCTTTGTCTGACGATGCCAATGTTTGCCTTGTTGGTGTCCTGCTGACCTTGCTCTCCAGGACGGTCTCGCTTCCCTACTCCTAAGTAGGTTCCTGAGTTTTTGTGTCTGAGACACCTGGTGAATGTCTTAGTTTGGATTCTCCCGGAAGCAGACCTGGAGCAAAGATTCCACTCATCATTGGTTTGGCTGTCTAGGAGAGTAGGGAATGGAGATGGAAAGGTCAGATTCTTCGGGCAGCCACTGCTGTGGGTGCCGGAAGCCCAGTCAGGCTATGGAACTCAGCAGAGAACAGCCTAGGACATGGGCTGAAGGGGGGGAAGTGGGCCACTGGGCGCCCACACCCCACTCCTGAGGGCATCGTTGCCTGGGGACTTCTGGCTCATCTGGCAGGAGGGGTGGACACACTTTCCTTCAGCATCCGAAGATAGCTGGAGCCCAGTGACATGGGAAACCCCAGGTCTGCTTGGCACTGGTGGGTCACAGGAGGAACTCTAAGCAGCTGGCAGGTGGGCCTGGGATGGCCCAGCACCTTAGTGTCCTGCAGAGGCAGCCCCAAGGTCACACTGAACATGGTCTTTGAGATGGCCCTTTCATCTGACACCCGGCCACACTGGCCAAACACAGGACTCGGTGGGGAGGGACTGTGTGACCTGTTAGCCAGGTGCTCGGTGCTGGGACGATGGAGGGAAAGTGAGATGTCGTGGCGTCTTGGCCCTCAGGGAGTGGCCCTGGGGTGAGCTCAGGACAGATGTACATGTGAGGGAGCTGCACGTGTGAATCAAAGCCCAGTGAGCTGTTACACACACCTGGGCTGGCAAGGGTCGAATGGTGGGAAATAAGTGTTGGTGAGGGGATGGGGAAGGGAAGGTGATGCATCCATTGTGGAAAATGGCCTACAATCCCACTGTGAGACAGTCACCAGTGACCTGCTGTCCTCCTGATGGGTGTGTGTCTCAGCGAGTGCTTGTACATGAATGTTCACTGTGGCCCAGAGTTGGAGATGGTCCAGATGTCCATCATGGTGAATGGATAAACAGTGTGGTTTTTCCATTCAATGGAGTTTAATTCAGCCATAAAGAATGAACGAATGCATGAGTAAATGAGGTCCTGACCCATGCTGCAATGTGGATGACCCTTGGAAGCAGGCGAAGTGAAAGAACCCAGAGAGACACAAAGGCCACCTGGCATATGAGTGCATGTATAGGAAGCACTGGGGTCAGTGACCCATAGATGGGTGTGACGGGTGTCCTCCAGGGGAGGGGGAAAGGGCAAGCAGAAGAGCAGCTGTGCTTAGAGGATGGAGGTGCTTTGGAGCTAGACAGAGGTGGGACAGCACTGTGAAGACACTACATGCCACTGTGTTAGTTACTTTATCGTCACTGGGACACAATACCTGACACCCACAAGTTAAGGAAGGAGACGTTTCAGTCCATAGTTGGCTGGTTCAAAGGCTGGAAGGCACGGCAGAGGGGCCTGGTGGAGGACAGTGGCTCAGGCATGGCGGCCAGGAAGCAGAGAGAGAAGGGAGGAGCTGGGGAGAGAGATGCACCTTTCCATCTCACACAGGAGTGACTGCCTCTTCCAATCAGACAACACCTCCTAACAAGTCAGTGGCAGCTCCCACGATCCAGTCACCTTCGTGCACCCCATCTTTGAATGCATGAGGCTTTGGGGGGACATGTAGATATAAACTGTAATAGCCACTGAATTCACTTTGAAACAGCTCATTTTGTATTACATGACCCTCATCTCAATAAATCATTAAACAGAGGAAAGACAAAGTGCTTCCCTCAGTGCTCTGCTGTGTGGTCCCTGCTCCCAGGTCCTTCCTCCAGTTCTGGCAGCCTCCAAGGCCAGCTTGGTGGGTCAACTTCTCAGGCTCCTGGGTGTCTGTCTCTGTGTGCTGTTTGTGGCCTCATTGAGTCACTCACACCCTACAGCTGCCTGTGGCCTGGGGCTTGGCCCGGTTGTCTTTCTGGAGGCCTTGGAGCAATCCATGTGTGGAGCAGAGAGAACGTAGGACCTTGAACCAACTGGGCCTGCAAGGGCTTGTGAGAACTGTCTCACCCTCCTGTGTGCCCACTCCCTGAGGCTGCACATGGGTAGATGGGTGAGGTCTGAGCAGTGGGTGCAGCTCTGGGCTGGGCCAGGCAGCCCCAAGCCTCCTGTCTTCTGTCCTGTCCTGTCTGGGAACTGGCTCTTCTAAACCTCGCTGCAACGTGCTGTCTCAGGGATGTGCACAGGGCCTAGCACGATAGTCCCGAGATAGAGACTTGATAGCCAAGGTGCCGACTCTTCAAGGGACCAGGAACTTCAGCCTGCCAGAGACCCCACAGGGGTGTTAGCTGGGGAGAGTTGGGGCTCCTTGCTCAGAGGCTTAGGCAGGGTGCCCAGTGCAGCTCCACTGCAATCATGGGAGAGATTCCCATGGGAAGGAGGACCAATGTTGGAGGTGGGAACTTCAGACAGGCAGGAAGGAGCTGGCACCGTCACCTGGCAGCTGGGCTCAGTCCTGGGGAGCTGAGATGGTGTGGGGCATGCTCAGAGGTGCTGCCTGGGTGCAAAGCTCTGTGCTTAGAACCAGCTCCCATCTGCCCTTGGCAAAGGTGCCTGCCAGGTGAGCCTGCAGCTGGAGCAGAGCAGTTCTCAGATTCGAGCCCACCAGATCCTCCGCACGAGGTACCTGATGCAGTACTGGTACAGATGTGGTTTGGGTTACCTCGGGCCTCAGAGTCCCTGAAGCGGCGGGTACACACCTGCCTGACAGGTCCAGGAACCCACTCAGAAGACCGCTGCTCTGGACCAGAGAGGGAAACTCCCAGGCACAGGTGCTCCCGGCTTATTTGATAAAAGGAAGATTTATTTTACACCCTGTGGCAGCACCAGCTTCACTGCTGGTTGTGGGTTTCCCATTTTGAAGCTGTTCGGATCGGGCCTGCTGGTCCATTCCGAGTTGCTGTTCAGAGTACTGGCCACATGAGAGTGCTCTTGCCTTTGCAAAGAGGCACTTGTTCCTTTTAGGACTTGGCTTTAGAACCCAGATATCCAAGGATTTTTTTTGTCTTTAAAAAAAATTACATCTTTATTTTTTAAAAAACATTTTTATTAGTACGTGTTTGCCATACATAATGATCACATTCATCATGGCAAATTTGTAGTAGCTGTACATAACATACCTTAATTCTTTTTTTCCAGTTCTTCCTTCTCTTCAATCCTTCTTCCCCTCCCCAATTAGAAAAGCCCTGTTTCCATTTTCCCCCTTCAATTCTCTCTCTTTTTAAATCCCTTTCCCCTCCTCCTGCCTTGTTCTCTTTCCCATTTGAACAAATTCTTCCTACTTTTCAATATCTATCCTCCGTTTTGTTCCTTACTTACCCTTTGGGTTTCTCACACAAGAGAAAAAATGCGGTATTTAAACTTGTGTATCTGATTTATTTTACTTAAGATTATGGTCTTGAGATGCATCCATTTACATACAAATAACTCAAGTTTATCCTTCTTTATGGCACAGTAGTACTCTGCTGTATATAAACACATTTTCTTTATTCATTCATCTGTTTATGGGCCTATGAGCCGTTTCCAAGATTTAGCTATTACAAACTGTTCTGCTATAAACATGGGTGTGCATAGATTACTGTGATATGATGACTTTTAACTCTTTTGGGAAGATTCCTAGAAGGGAAACAGCTGAGTCGAATGGAATGGGGCTTTCTGTTCATCCTTTCTCTCAGAGGAGGCTTTGCCAGCCTTTTGAGTTTGCCTCTTTGCCTTTCCAAAGAGCAGAGCTTGCACTGCTTGGTGCTATTTGCCATCTCTGGAGACTGCCTCGGAACACTGCTTGGTTGGCATTTTGAGCAAACAGCTGGTGTGCAGAACTCCGTCCCAGGCGTGGTTTGGAGGCGGTGGTGGAAGAGCATTCAGAGGGGCTGGCATGAGGAGTGGACAGGCTCTGGGTGCTGGCTTTTGTCCCCTGGATGGTCAGCACTTGTCAGCTGGCACCCACCGACTGTGGGCAGTCACAGAGGCCCCTGGGCACTGTCCTCGAGACAGCATTTCCCTCTTCTCCCTGTTTCCAGCCGAAGGCTCCTGGAGGGCTCAGAACAGCGAGGAGTCCCATCCTCTGGGGGCCACAGGGACACCTTGAGGAGAGCTAGCTGTGCCTCAGCTTGAGAAGTTGGCTGACTGTCTCATAAGCCAGCTGTCCTTGTCACAGAGGCCTTGAAGTTGTATGAGGTTGATATATCCAGCATTGAATCACACTCGTTACTTAGAATTTAGAGGGAGCCAGTGTTTGTGTTGGGACCTGGGCTGGAAGAGAAGCAAGTGTAGGAACAGGGGCATCTGATGCCCCTTAGAAACCTTTCTATACTCTGATAAGTGGACCATGAGCTAGAATTTTGGCTTGAATTCTAAATGAAATTAAAGACAGCCTGTGCTTCTGCTCAGGGTGGAGGACAGAAACCTTACTGGAAAGAGGACCTACACCCTAGCCGGCTGCTGACAGCTACCATCTCTACCCTGTGAAGCCAGATCCCTTAGGTGAGTGAGAACCATGAGTCTACCCTGTTTCCATCCTTTGGGCTTACGTCCTCCCCCAGAGCGCATGTACATACACACACACACATACACACACACACACACACACCTCTGCCTCACCTTAGTGGGGCCTGGGACTCCTTGGAACATGGAACTGGGCGGAGCTGGGCTCAGTGGGACACCCTCACCCCTTCACGAAACCTGGCTGTGATGGTTACACAGTTGTGCAGCTCTATCTTGCACAGACCCTGTCTTCATGGGGGGAAAGTGGACATGGGGCTCTGAGAACAGCGTGAGATGAATCTGAGCCAGTGTTTGGGCTCTCTTGAGCGCAGCTGCCCAGGAGTGTGGAACTCAGGGTTATACAAATCTGTAAGTTCCAAGGCGGGGGTGAGGGGTGGGGGGTAGGTAGGGGTGGCTTTAGAAGGAGTGGGGAAGCTTCTGTAGACAGAGGACTAACTGGGGAGCACGAATGCAGTGTGGGGAGCTGTGTGGGACTCCGTGCAGGATGGCAAGTGCAGGAGCCTGTGATTGCACGCAGAAGGCAAAGCCATGGGAACGGCTGGCCTGGTTGGCTTCGTTTCGGTCCCTTGGTACAGCAAGAGGTCTGAGTTAGAGGAGGTCTTACTGCAGGCAGCCCCATACTCAGAGCACAAGTTGTTCTAGGATCTTTGTGTTGTTCACATCAGCCAGTGGGTGAGCTGTTTGCTCTTCCCAGTCTCTTCATGTCTGTCAAATGTTAGAACTCACTATACTCCTGCAGGAGGCAGAATGGAGGACAAGCAACCTGGAGAAATAGAGCAGTTTTCAGGGCTACATTTAGCTCAGGAAGTGTGAAGGGTGCCTGTGAGCCACAGCCCACACAGTTACTGGGGATGCTTGGGGCAAACCTGTGGGTGGCTAGTGGAGGATGACCAGAAGGAGCAATCCGGGATATTTTGAGATTGAGGGTAGAGGGCTACAGCTGCAGTTCCAGAAAAGAGCAGTGGTCAGGATCTTTTCCACACTCCAAGAACCGAGGCCTGCAGCCTCTGCAAGCTGGGAGGAAGCATCATTGGAGTCAAAGAGAGGGAGCAGCCTGGTGGGACCACCCAGGTCTCCAGGTCTCCCTGGCCAGACGCGCTGTCGCCTCCCACCTCAGATTCTGCAGCCTTGGTGATTAACCATCGAGAGCTGCTCCAAAGCCTCTCTCTGCAGGCCCATCAGCTGGAGATTTCCTTAAGTGACTGCAAAGAAAGCAGCACTGAGTGGCTCATGGGCATAGAGCACCTTGAGGGCACACTTGGCCCCCAACCCCACATCAGAGGCTGGAGGGTGGTGTGTGGCAGGCCAGTCCCAGGCCAAGGCTCAGGAAGTCGCATTGCTAGTCGTGCTGTTATTCAGCCAGGGATTGGTGGGAAGCAGCAGAAGACTCTGGCTCCAGGAGGGGAGGACAAATGAAATGGGAGGCTGAATTATTCATCATTATTTACCTCTCTGGAGCAGGCTGGAAAGGCTTATTTAGCAGAGGAATGAAGACAAGAAAAATGGAACCCAGCTGGCACTGGAGAGGCAAAGGCAAATGACAGCTGGGGTCTGAATTATTTATTTGTCTTTATTCATATATTTGGTTGTTCTTTATGGATCATAGATCTTATAGTTGAATCCATGTTAGATGGATCTGAAAAATATAGCAAAAATATGAAGTGGAACCCACGGGGTGTAAAATTCATGAATTCAAGAGAAAGTGCTGATTACCAGAGTGGGTATAATGAATACTTTTTAGAAAATTAACTGATTAATTTATTTATTTTGAGACAGGGTCTCAATCTGTAATTCAGACTGATCTTGAACTCACTATGCAGCTCAGGCTGGTCTTGAACTCATGGCAATCCTCCTGCCTCAACTTCCAGTGTACTGGGATTACAGGTGTGTGCCACCATGCCCGGCTAGTAGTTAATATTTTTAATGAAAACCCTGCAGGATTTGTTAGGGGATGGTGGAGCCACAGCTTGTGTGATTGTCTGTCAACTGCCACCACCTTGTTTGCAGATGGGACTTGGGAGGGAGGGTAGCTCCGAAATACAGCCCCAGCTCTGTGACGCTTTGGTTATTTCTCAGGGAGAGGAAGTCAGGTACACGAAGAGCTCTGCTGTTCTTCGGCCCCATTGTGGAGCCCCCAGCAGGCTGCAACTGGGCCTTCACCACCTGAAATAAGCACCTGCACCTTCCTACTGTGTACCTGCCTGGCTCCGGACAGAACGGGATGCCTGGATGGGAACCAGTGCAGGTGGTTGGCCCAGGGGGATGGTGCGGATGTTGACGAGGAAGGATTTTTTCTCCTGGGGCCTGGTGTTTCTTCAGAAATTAGTGATTTTCTGCCAAGTAAAGGTTTGTGCAGATGTCAACAAAATCTCACAATTACCCAGAGATGAAGCTAGAGGTCTGGACATTTCTGTGGCGAAACGAAGAGGCTGAATCTTTCGGTTTTAGGGTTTCTGGTGGAAAGCAATGGGATTCACTAGGATTCTGTAGTGATGGCTTTGAATGAAGCTGTTGGAGAGGAAAACGAGACGATGGTCCCAGAGAGGGTCCTGGGGAGACTGCGTTGGTCAGAAGTGGCACCAGGGGGCACTGGAGAAATAGGAAGGAGGAGAGGAGGTTGGCCTGTTTCCATTAATCCCTCCAGTATCTTCTGGTCAGTCAGGCCCAGAACAGCAGCCTTGGCCCCTCTGCCTCCTTCCTGTCCCCAGACTCCGCCATGGTTCTCCTGTAGGATTTTTCGGTAAACTTTGCTTAAGGAAAAACAAAGAAACCCATGCAAACCATTGCACCAGACCTCAGAGAAGCCATGTTGCTCCAGAGGACGATGCTGACAGTGGGGACTCTTGCCCCAGCCACCAAGCCCTCAGGCCACCCACATCTCTGCTTAAACCTCCTGGCCCTTTCCAGAGCTGCCGACTGTGCCATCTCAGTTCTAGCCCAGGTGGACGGGGCCTCTGGAAACACCCAGGGCCACATCCCATGTATGTGTGAGCCTTTGTCACCCTGCCCACCCCGCCCTTCCTGTGTCGGGCCCAGGTATCCAAGCATCTTCCATTCTTCTGCTGGAATGTGTGTGGCCCCTAGCAACCTGCACTCCAAAGAACGCAGGGCCTCTCTCTTCCACTGCCGGCCCCCCTGGATATGGGCGTCACCCTCCTAGGGCATCTGTACCTGCTTATGATGCTGTCAGTATCTGATGTCATGGAAGTGACCATCATGTTGCCCCCTCCAGGGACACCTGGCATGGGGAGATGCATGGAGCTGGGTGATCACTTGTGGTTGTGTCCTGGGCTGGGCCCCGGGGCCTGCATCCAGACTTACTGTACATGGACTGCATCTTTGGGGGCCACAGCCCTCCCTGGAGTATCATCTCCTCATCTTCATTGTGCATGTGTATACACTCATATACTTATTTATACACTACGGTATGTGTACACACGTGTGGTTGTAGTATGTGCAGATGTATATGGTGTATAAGCCTGCATGCTTATGGGTGTGTATACACAGGTGTATGTGCTCACATGGGTGTGTACACACATATAGAGATGCTATAGTATGTGCACATATATATGTGCTTGTTTGTGTGCATAAAGATTAAAGACAAAACCACCTCTGTTTAAGTGTACAAAGTCATGGTGCAGGCCATGGAGACCCCCTTTTCCCTCCATTTTCAGGATTTTAAGATGACAATAGTGGTATCAGCCAGACTGGGCCCTTGTAGGTGCCTGGAAGAGTGGGCCTGTGTTTCTCCTTCCTAGTCCTGTGTGTGGTACGGACACTGGGCCCAGGGCCCAGGTCCCCGGGTCCCTGGCCCACTGTCTCAGGATGCAGCTCCTGGCCAGAACTCAGTGCCTCACTCCGCCTCTCCTCACAGAGCTTGGGTGGCCATGATTGCAGATTCTGTGCTCTATAGAGACCGGCTGCTGTGGCTTAGATAGGGTGTGTGTTTAAGGCCTAAGCATTCTATGTGACTTAGGTGTCATTTTACATCAGGTACACGAGAGTCAGTTGGGACCAAGACTGGGCTCTTGCTGTGGAGATGTGTCTGAGAAAGTGTCCACACCTCTGTGAGCACAGAGAGCTGTGAGCACAGTGAGCTGGGAGATTTGTTTTCTCTGAGCTGGTGGAACCCAGTGCCTCAGGTGTGCCAGGCCAGGACTTTCCCGCTGAGCAACATCCCCAGTTCTGGAAGAGAGTTTTAATCCAGACAAATATAGTTGGCACAGCTTCTCTCAAAGTAAAAATACAACAGGACACCTATGTCCTCCAAGCTGCCCTGGGTGCTGGTTGGCATTGGAGATGATGCTCTGGAAGAACCCTGCGGCTGTTGTGGGGAGAGCAGGAGCCAGCCTTGAAAACCCAGAGTTTGCACTGGTCATGGGGACACTTGCACATGCGTGTTTGCTCACATGAGCATGTCTCCTGAGAGCACTGTGCACATGTGCGCTTCATGGACAAGGCTGGCTGTGCATTGTGACTCCCAGCAGCCCAGTGACTCCCAGTGGCCCGCCCATGCCCTTCGTGTCCACCGCCCTCCTTGAGTTCTGCATCACACTGAGACACACACGTCCCTCTCGAGGCATAGTTGGTAGTTTTCACTGCAGTTTGTCACTGTTACTTCTCCCCAGCATGAGCTTCTAGAGCCACCTGGTTGCCAGGGAGGAAGACACCATTTCCCTGAGTCTGGCTGGCCTCTGGACACTGTCACCGGTGGGTGCTCTAGTGCCAAGTGAGCTCACTGATGTCTGCAGCCCAGCATCTGGATCCTTCCTACACATCAAGGGTCTACCCCTTCCTGCCTGCGGCCTAGGAACCTGGGCTCTGGGTGGGGCCTGGTGACCAGTGCCCATGGGACAGTGAATGGCTGACCTCAGCACCTTGGTTCTGAGCTCTGTCCTTGCTTCCAAGATTCACATCCCTAGGACAAAGCACCCTTCCCTCTGTGCCATCACCACCTGGAGTCACCACACCCAGTGCCT